AAATGGGATTTGTGTCTGACTATTGTAAGAAGTGATGAAGCAGGTATGTTGCTGTAGTCAATCCCAGTTGACATTGCGAGAGGCTCGGTACATTAAGGACCGCCCACCAGTCAATAACAGGGCTGAACTTGAACAACATCCTTCAAAAACGTATTTTCTCATGACCGAAGGGTTGGGGCAGCATTGTCTTTTCACCTACAAAATGTTCACCATCACTAACTATTGCACACTTTGGATCAATCCGGGTAAGCAGGATGAGCAAACCCATATATGTTGGTGTAAAATGTGACTAAGCAGGTATGTTTTTTTTTTAATACACTTAAAGACAAATAAAACTAAAGCATGTCAAATGACATTGAAAAATAGAATCCTAAAACCAAAACTGCAGTAAACTTTCAAAATGTAATCTGTGTGTTCGCATTCACCCTTCATACTGTATGAAGAGAAATCAATATAGATTTAACATTTAAAATCTTAATTAAGGTAGCTGTCTGTTCCACTGGGCCTGATACTCCTTTTTCCCTCTTTTCTACAGCTTCTAAAATGTCAGCACATAATCATGTTCCTGTCCAGATCCATTTGTCTTCTATAAGTGGCTCAGCAAACCTTAACCTGCTTCTCTATTATACCTACACCGCTTGGATAGATACAGCAGTTAGCACTAACACACATGTTCTTTTTGCTCTGTGACCACATCTGCCTGTCCGCCAGCCACCCATGATACTTGGCAGGCTTTCATTGGCGCTTTAGCAGCACGATTGGCACCGTCGGCACAATGCTAAGGCATCGGCCAGCTGTAAGCCCAGATACTGATGTACAAACACAGGCACTGGTCCCAGTTAACATGGGTAATCTGCAAGGTTTCTAGAGCAGCAAAGTTCAAAGACAAACATGGCTCATGTCCAAGACAGGAGATACACTGCACATACCTAATAAACTCAACACACACACTTGTGCTTTCTATATCTGCTGGTAGAACTGATTCAACCTGTACCTCCCAAATATGTTTGTACAATAGTAAAATACAAAGAATTCCCCTGAGGCATTCATGTAATTTGTAACCCAACTTTTGCCTAAGATACCTTTTCACTGGCGCCTTTAGAGCACTAGTAAAGAGGAAACTGCAGCTATAAAAAAAGACATTTAAGGTGTAACTGCAGGATTGATTCCTGAACAATATATATTTCTATTGTCTTTCTTTTCAAATATTTTCATCAAAACACAGCACTGCTGTGACCTCACACGCAGCACAACAACTACAGATACAGGTGGAGAACAGATGAAGTGCAGCAGGAAGTATCTCTTTTAGCTGACAGCTGTTGAGCACATCAAGAAATCTTTATTAGTGAAATTAATTTTCAAATTTAGCAAATGTGCCATCTTACAATTAGTATGTCTGGTTGACTTTATTTTCCATTTCTACTTTCCTACGTGCTCTCAGCCTTATGGCACTGACAATCTCTATATAGATCTGCCTGTTTGTTTTTACTTCTCACTCCCATTCTTCCTACAGATGAACTGTCATATCCCCTCCACTGAGCATCAATCCACTCTCTGCAATCTGTCCCAAAGTTAGTGACGCCAAATCCATGACGGCCTCACTCAATCCACATTTTCCACCCAATGGAAATTGAGGACACATAAACCAAACTTTGCTTGGATATGCACATTCTGTTCAAACTCATCAATCAGGCCTTGTGGGAGCTTCTGTGCTCCAGATTGGTTTTTAGCTTTCCAGTGAATTGATTGAGAAATAGAAACTTAAAGTAATGTGTTTGCCAATAAGTTGCCTCACCAGCTTGATTTGAAATGGCATTTGGGTATCTCGACGACCTTTACCTACAATCGCAAAGGTTTTTTGATGCTACTTTGGGGCACTCCTACCTTCTCTGTTGGAATTATAAACTATGAAACTAATTTAAAAGACTCCTGGATATTACCTGCTACTGTGAGAAATAGAAGTTTATGTAAAGCAAGGAGAGTAAGTAAGTGAGAGAACGGGTGGTGAGAGAGAAATCTAGGCAGTGAGAGTAGAAATCTAGAGGGGGGGTGGTCGGGGGAAGAGCTGCAATTCAAATGCTGCAATCTGACAGAATAATTTATTGCGTTTCTGCAGCTTGGTAAATAGTTTCTGATAAATGGAGCAAGTCACACTGAACTGTTATCAAAAAATGAGAAGGGAGTCATGCCAATTGAGAAAATATATAGCAATAATCTGAACTATCTATCCATCCAATCAGCTGTACCAATCATTGTTGAGGGTCATGGGGGAGAGGGGCTGTAGTCAGTTGACATTGGGTGAGAGGCTGGGTACATCGTGGACCGGCCACCAGTCAATCACAGGCTGAATTTGAACTACATCCTTTCTATAAGTTATTTCACTATGACTGAACGGTTGGGGCAGCATTGTCTCTTCCTGTACAAAATGTTTATCATCACTAACTATTGCACATTTTGGATCAAACCGGTGAAGCAGGATGAGCAAACCCATATATGTGTTGCTGTATAGACATGAGTAAACAGAATATTTAGGTCATTGTGATTGAATTTCAACCTCAAAAACATTAAACAGAATAAGTTCAGTTGAGGACCTCAAATCATTTTTTGAAAGCTCTACAAACAGCTTACATCAACTGATTCTAATTTTGAATGCATAAAATATAAAAAGAACAATGTTTCCAAACTTAAAACACAAATAGTTTTCCATCCTTCTTCCTTCAAACATCAAAAGAGATTTAGATAATGATTAATTTTAATAATAAGTATAAGTATTCAAAAATGTAATTGAGGGCTGCCACATATTCAGCATCTTGCTGACAAGTTTGTTTACATGATGCAGGTCACCTCTGATGTTCAGCTTTTCAAATGTTTTAAAGCAGGGAGTAGACTCTCTGTTGGTTTAACCTTATAAATAAGAATCAATTGGCAGACTCAACGAGGGGCTTTCTGTGCTTTGTCTAGTTAATATTTAAATAGGTTTGCTTCGTGAGTTGGCTGGTTTGCTATTGGAATGGTTCTGCACATTCTTTCATGTCTCTGTAATACAGTGGTCGCCAACCAGTCGATCGCGATCGACCGGTCGATTGCGAGTGGGGTGCGGGTAGATCGCGGACCGTTAAAAAAAAAGTAACAAAAGAAAGAAAAATAAAATAAAAATAATAATGTTTGAAAAATACGTTTTTAGATGTAAACCTATCATCCACCACCCCGTTAGCAGGTGCCACTTGATTGACGTATATTTGAGACACCTCATAAATATAATACATTAACCGTGACTTTTACGTGAATCTGCATCATGACACTAGAGACGTCATGGAACTCCGCAATACTCCGTGTTCAGTGAATGCAACAGAGGTACAAGTCTCCGTGACCCATCAGAGAGTTGCATGGAATACACGTGTGCTTGTGTCATTAGCTCGGCTACTGTGTGTGGTGGCATAGCCTTAAACTAATGACCGGCGACAAAGCAGGTTCACAGAACACAATCAGAAGACTTCGCATGCGTAAATTACACGCGCTCAGTGCTTGTATTCGTCATTCTCTGAGACATCAGAGACTCTGACTCGATGTTGTTGTTGTGTTACCGGACGCTAATTTATATACTGTCGAACTAGTATTCACCCCGCTCTTTGCGCAAACACCTGTTGAGCTGAGGGGGTTAGATTAGCCTGTGACAGAGTGTGTGTTTCGCGGCTACGCTGATAGGGTTGTTGCCGATACGCATGGATGCTCTCTCACGTGGGAAAACAATGGACTAATCTTACTTCTCTCTGTTGTCCTTTCCAGGACATGCTTAACCTGTTAAAGATATTTACTCGTGCAAATGACAAGGCTACAACTCTCTTCCAGACATTTCAAAAACACTTGTTCGAGCTATTTTACAACAATCTTTTTCACCCGCCTTTCCAAAACACTTGTTCCTGGGTGTAGTTACCTGTCATTTTGTCACGATATTAGTTTAACATGGATCTCTCCTGGAAATGGACATATCTGTGCATTTCCAGGAGATGTTCAATGTTTAATGATATCGTGCAAGAGATGATCAGGCTACAAACTCTCTTCATGACGTTTAAAAACACTTTCCCCGACCATTTAAACATTATTTCTGGCTTGTAAAGTGCGGGTGATGAGCCGTCGGATAGTATCAGACCTATTTAGAAGTGTACCGGGAGAATGAGAATATCCTCACAGAAGGGGTTGGTGGGTGCCGTGAATAAGGGGCCAATATGGATGCCGGATGGGCGGACGTCGTTAAAGCCACCGCAAAATCCACCCCCTTTTAGGCGTTACCAGGGGCATGAGTTCTGCTAGGGTGATCATCTGGGTTTAGATCCGTGGGGAGTGCTTAACGTCCGGGGGGCCGGGATCTCACGGTGCACGAGGGTTATGTGTTTTGTCTCTTCTGTTTGTCCGGAGGTCTCAGCGTCCTTTGGGCTCTGTGAGGCTAAAGAGAGTTGGTTTCCCCCGGTCTACTTTGATGGAAGACTGACATGAGCAGAGTGTGCATGTGAGGGAGCCGTGCTGGAGCTGCTTCGGGTGTCGGTGTGTGAGGGCAAAGCGAGGTGTTTTCCCCGGTCTATTTGATGGAAGGACTGACATGAGCTTGAGTGATGCAGATAGTGAGGGAGCCGTGCTGGAGCTGCTGAGATCGGGGGGTGTGGTGAGGGTGAAATGCGGAGGTCGTTTTCCCTAACCATCTCACGGTCTATTGATGGAAGACTGACATGAGCAGAGTGTGCATGTGAGGGAGCCGTGCCTGGGCTGCTTCGGGGGTGTGGTGAGGGGCTAAAGCGAGGTGTTTTCCCCTGGTCTATTTGATGGAAGACGACATGAGCAGAGTGTGACATGTGAGGGAGCCGTGCAGGAGCTGCTTGGGGGTGTGTGAGGGGCTTAAAGCGAGGTGTTTTCCCCGGTCTATTGATGGAAAGAACTGACATGAGCGAGGGTATGTGAGGGAGCCGTCGCTGGAAGCTGCTTCGGGGGTGTGTGAGGGGCTAAAGCGCAGGTGTTGTTCCCCCGGTCTATTTGATGGACAAGACTGACATGCAGCAGAAGTGTCATGTGAGGTTAGCCGTGCTGGAGCTGCTGGAGCTGCTTCGGGGGGTGTGTGAGGGGCTAAAGCGAGTGTTTCCCGTGTTCTATTTGATGAAACTGACATGAGCAGAGTGTGCAAGTGAGAGCCGTGCTGGAGCTGCTTCGGGGGTGTGTGAGGGCTAAGCGAGTGCTGTTTCCCCGGTCTATTTGAATGGAAGACTGACGATGAGCAGAGTGTGCATGTGAGGGAGCCGTGCTGGAGGCTGCTTCGGGGTGTGTGTAGGGCTAAAGCGAGGTGTTTTCCCCGGTCTATTTGATAAGACTGACATGAGCAGGATGTGCATGTGAGGGAGCGTGCTGGAGCTGGCTCTCGGGTGTGTGAGGGCTAAAGCCGAGGTGTTTTCCCCGCGTCTTTTGCATGGAAGACGGACATGAGCCAGAGTGGCATGTGAGGGAGCCTCTGTGCCTGGAACTGCTGGAGCTGCTTCAGGGGGGGGTCCCGCTAGCACCGGTCCCTCTCTCTCTCCCTCTCTCTCTCTCTATCACAGTAAATGCTCTTATTTGTCGTGATGCAACGCGCGATCTCAAGGACGACCGAGCTGGAAGTGATCTCCAGCCCACGTGTATTTCATGCAACTCTTCTGATTGCTCTGTGCTGTACTGTTGTCTGTGTTGACATTGCACTGAAGCACGTGAAAATGAGCATGGACTGTGAGCTACGTTGAGACCGATGCCTGCTGGAGTGCTGGATCTGCTTCGGTGTGGTGTTGAGGTGCTAAGCGAGGTGTTTTCCCCCTGGTTAGTTTGATGGAGGACTGACTATGAGCAGGAGTATTGTGTCATGATGAGGTTTCACGTAGCGCGAGATGTATTTATATTATTGGAGGTGTCTCAATATACGTCAATCAGAGTGGCACCTGCTAACGGGTGGTGGATGATGGTTTCATCTAAAAAACGTATTTTCAATGGTGAAAGGAGAGGCCGTTGCTGGAGCTGCTGGAGCTGCTTCGGTGAGTGTAGTGATGTTGTATGGTGCTAGCTGTATTTCTTTTGTTACTTGGTGTTTTAATCTCCGCGCTCTACCCGCGGCTCCTCATTCTGACATGGTCGAAAGGCCGGCGTGACGATACAGACAGATGAGCGGAAGAGTGTGTCGCGGCGCGTTAGGCGCGGCACACTAGCGTATTTAGCATGCGATATTTTACAGTGAAAGATGTGCGAGGAACTCACATATACATCCAATAGCAATCACCATATGCTGCCTACCTACACCCGATAGCGGGGGGCAAACCTTTTAAATGTAGCTGTCATCTTATAAAGAACAAAAGCACATCCAAGCAGACCAAGGCCGCCTCGGTCTGTCCACGTCCCAGCAACTTGATTTCGGTACTCTCATATGGCGGTTAAACCAACGAGAGTCCTACTCCGTACCGCCTGGTATTATAACTATCATGGAAAGAGTCTGCTGACATGACACAATCCATGACGGGTGATCACCTAGCACTCATGGATGAGACCAAACTGGGTCTAGACTCACGATTATATCAAGCCACGCATATCGCTCCGCAGACACCATCAAATGTTTACATATATTCTAGCCGGTAGATCACTCTTACATGGTGTAGTGTGATATAATAGGAAAATCATGTCTGAGATGTAGAATCTCTTTGATGTTTGAGGAAGAAGGATGTGACGGACGTATTTGTCCCTGCGCTCTATAAGGTTGGAAACATTGTTCTTTTTATATTTTATGCAGTTCAAAATATCGATTGATTCTGCCCGTTGATTTGTTGTATGTTTTATAAGACCTAGTTGTAGTGACAGACTTGCACTAACAACACATGAGCGGTTGTGACCTGCGCTGTCGTCACAACCATAGTGAACACTACTAGTCAGCTCTCATAGATTTACATGACTTTTCTGCTAGTTTTGTAATAATTCACTAGATATCATTATAACAACTATAATATATTTCCACATTCTGTAAAAATCCGCTTTCTTGCCCTTGAATCATACATGTTTTTCTAATCAGTTATTCCGTTATACTGGCGCGCGAGGAGACGACTGCGGACAAGCACTATGTTTCCCGGCTTGCAAACATTTATCCTGGGTAGATAATAATCAATTTGTTCCGCCTCTTTCCGAGCACCTCTGCGCTGCGGATTAAACAGGCATGAATGCACTTTTGAACACTCATTTACCACCGTCATATGGGTCCCTAACACAGTTGCACGACAGTCTGGAGCTCTCACTGGGCCCTTGCACAGGCTCCAGTCTCGTGCGTTTTAACGAAACGGAACGGAGTTCCGCTCATTTGCCAGTTCAAATGTTAGAGCGGAAGACGCCAGACTCCGGTGCGCATCAGGCGCTGTCGATTAAAACACCTAATGCGCTTTAGCGAGCTCACGCAGGGCCAGAATTCCTCTCCTTTCCGGTTACAAATGATGACGCAGCCGGTGTTCCTCTGAGTCTCCGCGCCTGCTCAGAGACTAATTTCTGGGTAAAAAAGCCATGTGCCGCCCCCTGATCTCTGCATGTGTGTGTGCCTGTGAGTCTCTGGCTACTGTCCACATGCCCGCATTATGGGCACTAGGGCGGAAGGGCCGCGGACCAACTTTCATGTTTGTTATTATGTATATTGTTATATTATTGTTATTGGTATTAGTATGTATACTGTGTACTACTGTTTTTGTAAAAGTCATGTGATTTATCTAAACTAAGTAATAAAACATGAATATGTGACCCAGCTCTATACGAAATCAGTCGGAAGGTCGCAACGGCTCATTTAAAAAATAAACGTGGGATTTGCATAAAACTATTTTTTCGGGGTTCGGGTGTTTTGTTTGATTTTAAACAAACAAAAGTCTGGCTTTCAGGAATATGAAACATTTTATCCAAACTCACTACATAGAATACATTCTTTAAGCTTGTAAAGGCGAAGATGACAGGCAATGGCTGCTCTTCCGCAGCGCCGCTCCCCCTCCCTCCGGCAAAACATTATGAATGTAAGCGTAGAGTAATTCATAAATAACACGCAGGGTCCGTTACAGTTTTGGTTCATCTGATTTCTAATTATAAACAAGTCTTGCTCTAATATATTATACTGTTCTGCATAATAGTTATGATTATAGATATCAACTTTGAATGCTTGTACGGTCATATATTTACAAGCGGGGAGAACTTGATGTTGTGTGTTAGTAAATTAACTGTCACAGCAGGCTATATCAACTAGTCCGGTGTTTCTCGTGTGAGTGTTCCCCCGTGGAAATCATAACGCTAATACACACAATACGCAAATACATCAAACACACAACACTATTATATCTACATCACAGCACCGCTGAGCTGTTCCCCTATGATCATGCAATCTGCAAACGATATTAAATATTTTTCTTCCCTCCGTAGTTTTGATCATTTTGCTCCTAGCTAATAAATCAATAAGATCGATTGTCGATTCCATGGAGGAACGAGACAACTTTGAAGGCTTTTTCTCATGAATTTGATGACTCTTGTGACAGTCATTTATTATTAATGTGATCATATTTCGTCTTATATTGGAGTACAAATAACAATTCTTTTGCTGATATCATTATGGAAATCTTAGAATACTGCCTCTTTCCAGCAGTGTATTATCATACCTAAAATGTGTTTTCTTTCGGTCAATGCTACTGAATTTCGATAGAGCAGTCACATTATTTAACTCTGAAGTGTCTCCAGGTGGTCATAATTACTAGTGCCGAGGTGTCATCGGTATATTTAAATCAATGTACCAGGATTCAGAACTTCGTTTCCCGGCTTGTTAACAATCGGTTGTTTTTGCTGTTCTGTGGGTTATACCTATTGACTATAATCACAATTGTCCTCGCCTAAAACGTTATCCTTATGGTCTGTACCTGCCATTTGTCTAATGGTAATATTTAACATTGATCTCCTTTCCTGAAATGATCTATTAATCTGTGTGCATTTTCCTGGGTAGATGTACATGTTTAAATTTATTTATCCTGCATACAATGATCAGCTAAAACGCTCTTCCATACGTTTAAAAACACTTCCTGTATCTATTTTATAGTACAATCTTTTCCGCCGCCTCCTATAACACTGTTCCTGGTATCTCTGTTCATTTGCACGATAGCATGTTAACTATTGTGAATCTCTCCGGTTAATTATGGTTATCTATATTCTGTTCTTTTGCACTTTCCAGGATATGAATGTTCATATGTTAAATTGATATCGTGTCAAAATGACAGGCTACACTCTCTTCGGCCAGACTATTAAAAACTACTCGATCTTATTTATACCAATCTTTTTCCACCTCAACACTTTCCTGGGTATTAGCCTGTCTATACTTGGCCTCGATATCATTGTGAACATGAATTCTCCTGGAAATGGATCCATATCTGTGCATTTTCCAGTGAGTATGTCAATGTTAAATGATAATCGTTGCAAATATGACAAGCGTACAACTCTGCTTCCATAGCATTTAATTAAACACTTTTCCGACTATTTTAAATCAACTTTTCCCCGCCTTTCGAAACACTTGTTCCTGGGTATAGCCTGTCATTTTGTTACGATTATTCATTAACATGGAATCCTCCTGGAAATCGACATTATTCTGTGCATTCAGGATGTGATGTTCAGTATGTTAAATGAAGTATCGTGCAAAATGACAGGCTTACAAACTCTAACTTCCAGACTTTAAAATCACACTTTTCCGACTATTTTAAAAACTTTTCCCCGCTTTCAATGCATATCTTGTCCTGGTTTATAGCCTGGTCATTTGGCGA